TGACTTTATTCAGCACAGCAGTTTCTTCTGCACTTCGATATAACTTGGATATATGGAAATGAATGGTAGGGAGTGGGAAAACTGTGTGCATATTATCAAAGCTGCGTGCACACTATCATTACCATATTCTGCAATCAATTATTTTACCACAGCTCGACGTAGAATACTCCTTTCATTAAATAGACGAATTAATGGTGTACTGTAACTGCAAACACGATAGCTGTCCGAGTATTTGTTGAATTTATGAAGTCATTCTTTATCCAAATACTTTGCATTCAGTTAGGGAAGGGATGACAGTGATTAGAGTGACATGGTTTCATCATATATATATATATATATATATATATATATATATATATATATATATATATATATTGCTGTGTATGCATATACTATGGTTTCTAAATGATAACGAGTTTTTAATACTTCCGTGTATAAACGTCAGTTACAGTGACTGTTGAACCGCGACCATCTGTGTATTCTGAATAAATTATTTGACTGTGTACGAGTGACTCTAAAGGCCACCCTGGCAACTGATGAGAAAGCCAATTACATTCCTATATTTTATGAAAAAGTACTTTCCTAGGCGAAATACCGAAGCCTGATTGGTGTATTCATCAGTTCCTAGGGTGGCCTTTAAAGTAACTTCTATCTACAGGTAAGAATTACATAAACTTTTGACACCAGTTTTTTGACTCAGAATTAGTTTAAGAGGTTTTGAAAATTTGTCGATTTATCCGTCGGACATTCAAGGATTCATGTCACTTCAAGTTTTTATGAAATCAGTGCCATGTAGAATGTTTTGTATATGTACTCATCTCCAGGGACTACCGCAAAGAAGTAAATATCATCAGCTTACTTCCAACAAAGAACAGAATCATAACAACGTCTTATTGAAATTTTACAGTTTCATTGCGATGACTATTACTGATGCATTGGTTACTAATATTAAATCATGGTTGAGGAGATTAGTAGGTGAGGAAATCCTTGTTCTTCAATAATTCTGTCATCACATTTTGGACACAGATCCAGTCAGAGGTTCTCAATAATGTTTACATGCAACAAGATGTTACGGTTATGTCTACTTCACTGTTCCCTGATATTGTTCCTGGGTAAACTTCATTGCTGGAAAGTTTTCTCTTTATCAATAAATACGGGTGATCTAGAGCGATGACATATGTCATCGAAACGGTGCAGCACAGCTTTTAGTCGAATGGTCAAGTTTACTTTGAATTTTTTCTGTTAATATTCTCAGTGATGTTTAGTATGAACATCAATTTCAGTGCTCATGCTTTTTCAAAGTTCTATTAAAATCTAATGTAACGTGTATCATTAGGAACATCTCAAGTATGTTTTTTGAGAAATCCATGGTACTGAGTAGTGTCGTGTCAAATAAATTCAGTAGGTTTTGTTTACTTTACAGCCAATTTTATATCAAAATAGGCAGACGCTGTTCGGATGGTCTTACTTACGAAAAATACTAGTTATCGATCAAAAACATCATAGTATCTATCATATACTCATATACTATGCAGCACTACTGGTTGCAGGAGTCCGAAGTATGTAGCTGCAGATCAATTTAGACGGTGGTGTAGTAACTTATGGTTCAGTTAAATACTTCTAACATGCGTTGTGCTCCGTTTCCATACCATGTATCTAATTTAACAAACCGTCATTTTAAACGTCTTCCAATTAGTGTTGCCAGGAAACTAACAAGGCCATTAAATAGTCCACTCTAAGTAATAGTAGACTACACGTCGAAATTAGGGGAAATCAATATAATTCATATCCAACCAAACAAGGATATGGAGCAACATTACAATGGCTTGATTAAACACTACTTTTGCATAAAAGAACATCCAGGAGACACACAGAAGTCTGCTTTGTGAGATACATTCATACTTGAAGACAACTGTAACTACAAAACAGGCTGAAATGACACCGAAGTCTTGAATATTCTTGAAGCAATATAAATGGGAATGAACGTTTCGGAACTGAGCTAGCTCTATATTTAGTAGGAAATGAACAGACATTGACACACCCGAAGTCTGTGAGAACATGAATAAAGTACAACACATTCTGAAACCCATAGACGCCTACTTCGCTTTTCATGACACTTTCTCCATAAACATTTTGAAGGTCATCATCATCGAGACAGACAAAAGGGATAAATGTTGACCGTCTCAAATGTGGCTAACGTGATGTGAAAAGAATTTCTTTGTCTTTTCTTGGCTATCAACATTACTATTAGAACAGCTCTTTATCAGTAGTACGTAATCATACTTGCCCCGAGACTGACTCATGAGGAAATACTAAAAGACTTAGGAAAGAAATTCAGTAGCCATTTCAAGTCATCTCCAGTTTTGGCTTTGCGTTCACATGCACTTATCAAAGCAAGTATGCTAAAAGGAAAGTTAGATGGGCTTCTACCCACTTCTCCGAGCACTTTCCATGAAATCTTTGAATAAAGGGCTTTTAATAGTTTACAAGTGCAGTTGCTCAATATATGTTCGATTCGGGGCGCATTCAGATATGCCAGTCGCCTTTAAAATGATCAATAAATGTAGAAATTAAAGCAGTCCGTAGCCTCCATTCTGTTACCATATAAGGAAGGCACATCAGAAACTTTACTTAGGATCGTTAACAAAGATGGAAGTAAGCTTTGTCGGCTTAAGGATCCGACAGAACCAATTAAGCAAAATAATCTAATTCCATATAATAACTGTGAGGTCAAGTACATAAGTCAAACTAGTCGGTCGTGGACAGTTAGAATCGCGGAACATAGGAATTTAGCTAAATATAGAATGACAGACTCCGATAAGATCGACAATCAAGAACATCACTCAACTATCACAATGCACACATAACTGAACAATAGGGTGGGTGGGATAAAGCCACTGAAGATAATATCCTGTAATGAGTGTGATATGATATAAACAATCGTTTCCAATATAACCCGAGATTTTTATGCGTTGTGCGAATAACTGCTTTCTAGTATGTATCAAACACTCTCTGTAAAACAAGATGAAAGCACTTTTAGTCTGTTCGTATACTCACCTGGTCAAAACTGTGGTTCACATCGCTTTCCTTGACAATAATTTTTCTCTATTTTTGACTATGTTATTCTATTTTCTGATGAAAGGACATCAACTATGGCAGAAGTGTAACAAGCATAATGGTATACCTTTTCATGTACACTCGGTAACTTCAACACACAAATTATTCATCCTAGCATTTGCCTTGTTCTCGGCTTCTTATGTCAAAGTATGTGAGTCTCACAAACCATGTAATGAGGCAGTTGACGTCACAGGAATGCAATGATGAAAGAGACAACATCTTCAGCTGTCACTTTATTTGGGAGTGAAGTGTTAATGGTTTGTGATGATACATGGGAAACGTGTATTATGCCGATGACTTTTCCTGTTGCAATCACAAGTTCATTGATATTATGTTTTTCATTCGATCTAGTTGACCAGTGAATAACTCTTGTTAAGTTGTTTTGCATATAGTTACGTTTGCTTCCTTCACACAATTTCGATGCATCAGTTAAAAACGATACATGATAAATCTCCCCTTCTACTACAACGAAATGGTTAGATCATATACCAGGACTAACGGCTAACTATCGAATGTAGGGTGAATACATCTCACCGTTTCCTGGATTACTTATACTTATGTGCACACAGGTCACCATGAAAGTTGAAATGCAAACCGTATCACTTAACAACTGAATTGCACAATGCCAAATAATATGCTAGTTGAACAGCCTTATGTTACTGTAGAACACCAGCGAAAATTCATATCCGTATTTCCCTGCAAATAAAGCAAGTTGATTGATTTATATTGATGGTGGGCTGCATTAATCTCATTCAATGAATTACGCCACTAATTCTCCATTAGTAATAACTACGACAATAGATGAGAATAAGTCAGACAGCCAAATGTGGCAGCCCAGTAATAGGGATTTAAAAATTCATTCACATTTCCTCTGTGTAAATGCCAAGTCAGTACGAGGCGTTTTACAAGATTTGCCAATCAGATGTGGGGGTCTATCAACTGTCGCGCTACAAAATATAGTAGCACAATCATGAGGATTTCTATGGACATTATATAAAATTCATTGACATATCTCTAGGCTTTGGATAGTGAATGAAAAGCATTTGCTACTAGTTTAGTTAAATATTTTCGTAAAATATCAAAAACTCCATCAATAAGAAATCTTTCTTCCTATCTGGAGAAAATCAGGTGAAATTCTTCAGACAGGATTATTCATATTGCAACAAACATTCTAGAAGGTCATAATGCTACATATTCCTATCTGACTATTCTACGCATTTATTATCATGAGAAAATAAGATATAACAACATGTTCACAGAGCTGAAATGATACTAGATCTAATTATACCAGTTTCTATGGCTGTTCTGCGTCAAATAATAAAAATTGGACGGTAATTAACCTCAAAATATCGACAAAAAAATCCTCGAATAACTATACTCATAAGTTTTCGCATACAGGTGACTACACTGACTTACTTCCCGCCTGAAAATAACCTGGCCGTAGAAATACTTCACCATAGCTCTTAAAGTCTTACGATTACAATACATGTCGGTACGAATCAGTAGATTTCTGGACGAAATTTCGGCATAAAGCAGTAATCACGACCAACCAATTCATAAGGATTGGTTACCGGATACAATGGTGATGCCCCAAGGACTATTGGAAATCTGACATGCTACGTAACACTATCGCAATGCACTATATCGGCTTAAATAGAGTATGTTGTAAATGTATTCCAATCCAAACTATAGATCCTACAAAGACAAAATGTAGCGCGACTCAGTGCCACATATGACTACAAGAAAATCATCTTATGCAGCGATGATCATTTGCTGGTACCAAAAACACAAGTGCTTTTAGTAAATTTCTTAAAAACAATCACTATTCAAAGCATTTTGATCACAGCATAACACAAACAGTACTTGTTAATTTAGGACTATAATATTAAAAGGCAGGATTAACAATCATAAACGTTTATTGATGCTTTAAGAAAAACGATACACTGGAACTTCATCACCTTTTATTAGCCTCCGTTCTACACCATCTTTAGAAATAATAGCTAGACGTATACACCCACCACTGGAACCATCCCTATTGATAGCTAGAGCAACACCTAGATTGAATAAGGTACAAGAAAAAAAATTGCATTGCAGAATTTAGTGTGAATAAGACATAAGATTATCGATACAAGTACACACAGCACAATAGCCATATTACAGACTTTACAATCAATAGAATAAAAAAAGGCTTGTTGGATTGTTTCGAGTCTTTGCCTCGCATAACTTCTCGAACTGCAACTAAGTCATGATGCACCCCACAAGCAGCGCTAGCTACCCTTACTACACAGAGCCAATTCATGAACTGGCCACCCTTCTGCTTATTCAGAATAGTTGTATGACTAATGAATAGTGAACAGTATGGAAGCCGATCGGATGATATTTTTAACACATCCAATTCACCGAAACTGGTACTAGTAGATTGCTTTACTCAGTGAGTAGAGATTCCGTTGACGTTGGAACACATATCATTGAACATCAGAAAGATAGGCAATATCAACATGCAACCAGGCATTACTTACAGCTGACAGCTGCTACCATAACGTGGTGGTCGGGCTTGCCTATCGTAATGACCCAACTACCTATGCTGGTGGGACGCTTGTTCCTTAAAGGTTCTATCATACCACAAAGGTCTGTTGGATGGTGGTAAGACGAAAAGAAGTTGCCGTTATAGTGTAAATTATTACACTATGATGGGGATCCGAGAGCGAAGTCGTACTACTACTGACTAGATGGGGTGTGACCAACAAGATATTTCCCTTGGATGACCAGCTGCGCCACACTGATGCTGCCTTCTCAACAGGAAGGGTGGATTAAAAAGGTCAACCCCCAAAATAGCACATTCCCACTGGTCCGATAGTCTGCCGGTGGTATGAGTTCTCTCTATCCGGCGTTAGAACAACCAAGCCTGAAAACTAAAACCCACAAAAGTCTGTGTGTAACAGGTTTCAAGTCATCGAAACCTCATTCATTACCACTTCAGTGGCAAAAGAGGTCACTGAGATAAGTGTAGCCCGGATTCGAAGTACAGCCGGGAACCTTGTCAATCAAAACTCCGTCAACACCCCCACGATTATTCATATGTACAAACTTTTCCACTACTTGAATTTTACCACCGAAAGTGGGCATAGACTACTGCCAGTCTCATTAAAGTACTTTTCACTTCCATAGTGCAGACAACATGCCATACTTACATGTACTGATTATTAAGCCAATTGCCATGCCACGTGCGACAAATTTAAGTAGGATTGGTTACATCGATTTATAGCCTGCAACACATATGACGGTGTTCAAGCCTATGACGTAGGATTAACATGTGCTGAGTGCATCCACAAGCGTTACGAAACCCAACTTGCTCCTAGAGAATAATTTTTTTACCTGCTTTGCGACGACTAGTAAGTATAACAGCAACTAATACTTTGGGTGAACTAGCAATAGACTGGGACGCTGATGATTGTCGTGTACGTCACTACGACCACTTTTAAAAGTAGGTAGTAACACAATGGTTTTATTTCAAAGTGATGGAGAATTCAGTCTGCCAAATTGTCTTAAACGATCTAGTCAATTTCCTATCTACAGTTTCGCCTACATCCTACAAACCAGAAGAGAGTAGGTTGTCAAGGCTAAGTGCCTTTTAGTCCTTTCAGTCAGTTAATATCAAAATGAGGCCTGGTGTTATTGTGTAACGGTTCAAGTTGGGACATCCCGCATCAACAAATCAAAGAGGACGGCAAGAGGAAAGGTGGGGAAATAGGGAAAAAAGTGTAGTCAAAAATCATGAAAGGAAAACGGTGAAAAACAATAGAAATTGCGATATGATGACTAAGATGAAAGTGATGTAGATGCATGTGTGTCAGTGAGATTGATTTTGAGCCACATCACCTCTAAAGTGCTTTTTGGAACGTTCCGTCCACAGTTTGAAAGTCCTTTGACGAATGCTGATTGAGATATCACTGAACTCAGATTGTTTCACTGACCTTAATCTTCTTGTTGATTGTGGTTTGGGTGCGTTGCTTCTATTTTGTTTGTGCCGTTTGATTCTGAAATGTCACAGCCCCTATGTAAGGGGAGTGATTTTTTAAGTATGAGGCTTACGCAATAATTATATTCACTATCTGTCGGAATAGACCAATGAGAATTAAGAAGTTGCAAGAGAGTCATAGAAACCCAGTGTTCATTATCGGAGACTTCTTTAAAGCTGAGGGTAGCTTTATTCACCAGTTTAATAGCTTTCTTTAGATGTAACCGATGGTCATTTACACGTTCTATAAATTCAAGAGCTAGTCTCAGACCTGACTTCTTTTGGTACTCAGTTGCAATACTAGGTGCAATCAGTCTGCATATATAGATGTTTCGCATGATTTTGATGGTCACTAAATGAACGATTAAATTGACACATACTAAAGTGTGACCACTTCAAAAAGCTCTTGAATCGACCACTACCTGCACTTCGTCCAGAAATACCACCTGCAGCCACAGAACTACAAGTTAACACAAGCTCTCTGACCAAAGTCGAAGTCTTTACTGCCATAAGGTTACTGATATCCGGGAAAGCAGCAGGATCAGATGGAATCCCGCCAGAAGCACTGAGAACAGACGCAGGGACAACAGCGGACATGCTCATACCACTATTGCAGACGGTCTGAAGTGAAGGAAAGGTACCTGCAGATTGGAAGAAGGACTGCCTTGTCAAACTCCTGAAGAGGGGAGACCTAAGTCTTTGCAAGAACTGGCGAGGAATCATGCTCCACCTCCGTCCACCCCAAGCAAAATATTAAACCACATCATTTTGGAGAGATTAAAGGATGTGCTAGATTTAAAACTACGACCGGAACAGGCAGGCTTTAGGAAGTACAAATCATGTGCAGACCAAATTGCAACGCCACACTACGCATCATCATAGAACAGAGTATAGAATGGCAGTCAACTTTCTATCTCAACTTTATCGACTTTGAAAAGGCCTTTGACAGCGTCGACCGAGAGGTAATTTGGAAACTGCTTCAACAATACGGAATACCACAAACATTTATCAACCTCATTCAACAACTATATGAAGACGCCACATACCAAGTAATTCACAATGGGAAGCTCAGTGATGCCTTTGAAGTGGAGACAGGAGTAAAACAAGGTTGTCTACTATTACCCATGATATTCCTGCTTGTGGTCGACTTGATCATGCAACAAACAGTGAGGAGGAAACGCTGGACCGGTGAAAAGATCCTATAAGATTTGGATTTCTCCGATGAGTGGTGTCTAATGTCACACAAACTTGAAGATCTACAAGCAAAATCCCACAAGTTGACAGAAGAGGCAGGGCAGCGAAGATGGGACTTCAAGTGAACGTAGGGAAAACAGAGGTGATGGTGATACCCAACATCATCTCCCTCATCAATTACCTTTTATTGTGACCGAACCCTTGAACGCTATTTCGCACAAACAACTTTTGACGGGGATCTAGCTGAACAATGCAAACTCAGATGGAGTCCTGATCAAAACTATGTTGTCAAGTCTGCATCAAATATGTACGGTGAAACGATTAGCTTAAGGAGTGCGCGTGGTTTTCGAATAGATGAGGTAGATATTGCACTGAAGAACTATTTTGCAGAAACAACTGTCGAACAACTCTTAACAATACAGGTAGACTAGAATCGCAAACAATGGTGGACAGTTGAGTGCAATAACTAACAAGATGGAAACAAAAACGACGAGAAGTGAACAACCTAGCTCATATAAAAGTACGGCAACAACATTATAAAATTAATACAAATAATTGAGTTTATACTTTAAAGCATTGGAATGACGGACTAGATAAGAGTTTTGAGTTTTATATCATCAGTTGTGTACCAAATATCGAGTGATAACGAGGCTAAGGGTTGTCCGAATGCAACCGTTGTATCAGTATGTGGGTAGCATCGCTCACAAAGTGGAACAACAACTCGAGTGATGTAGAAGTTAGGAGCAGTCTTTGGTGAGTCAGCCAATGAAGTTGCACAAATTCGACTGTGGTAGAAATGTGCTATGCACCACAAGACATCATCTATTCCAATACACTGTTAACTGAAGTATGCGTGGATAAACCAAACCAAGGCAAAACATCAATTTATGAGATCTCCAAGTGCTAGTCTGCGTCAAGAAGGAAATGAATGTCTGTGAAACCACTGAAACTTTCGGTTGGAGACTAGGTTCAAATCGACAGTGGTGGGTCAGATGAGTAAATCCCCAGGAACTTAAGGTTATCGACTAAGGCAATCATCTTTTAAGAAATATGTCTTGGGTTCCAAACCCATTCCAGATATTGACGTTTAGGCAACCAAATTGTATCATAAGCCCTCACGACCAGTATGGATCAATGTCTAGCCCACGCAACTATCCGTGACTGCTGGGTTGCACATGCTACTTTAAATACTTGCTAGGAATTGGTATTATTTCCATTTTGTTGTCTTTCATCCTGTTGCCATTTACCTGGATGAGAGGTTTGTGTGAATTTGAACAGCTACGCAGTAATTCTGGATTCTAAGTTGATAAGGTTCACTCCATTAATAAATGACTTATAGATCACGGACTCAAACTTTTCTTCCAACTACTTTGACTCACTTGGACAATCGGGTAATACCATACTCTCAAATACTGACTGTAGCTCGTAGCGTAGCGCCTGTATCCATGAGGAGGTTGAGTGACATTACCTACCTACAAAGGTTCTATGATTAACTAAAAAGTTGGTGCTGAATCCAAAATCTTTCTTCACTTGGAGTCATAAAAGTACTTAGGGAATAACGAAATTCAGGATAGTTTTACCGTCTTTTAAAAGTCTTCATCACATCAGAGGATAATTAGACTATTCATATTTTAATAAGCCGGTGTTCACATTCTTTGATTTAACCAGCTTAAATGCATTTTTAGGATTGTTAACCTTCACAAACTATTCGTTTTGTTAGAAACTATCATTACTGATTGTGTCATTACAAAAGTCTGAGAAGTTTACCAAAGCTTAATCAACAGCACTACCCTGTGTCAGAAAATGTTTTCCGCAAACATATTTGATTTTGGCATTTTATTATGACAAACAACCCAAACTGTCCATTGTTAGTTCAAAGTACACCAAAAACTTGATCAAGTGCAGTGAGATCAGTAAAACTCGCTCAAGAATCCCCACCAAAAAATATGAACAGGTATGACTGATCTGAGTTACGAATAAATGCATCTTCGTAAATGTGCATACATCTACCTGGTGGATTGTAAGCCATATTATACGAAGATTAAGAATAACACTCAGTTGTGTGAAAGCCAGTAAAAATTAATTTTGCATATGACTAAAAATTGTTGATAAGAAAGCCTGGGTTTCGTGCTTGTTGACACTTATCAGTACGGTATATCTACAACTTCAATGGAAATAATACCACTGGGAATCTGCATCAGCATAAACTTACGCTGTAGTCAGAGACGCTCCGTTGGTACAGAAATGGGACTTCGCATAACTGCTATTCCGTTACTCAGGTTAAATCTGGGTTCTTGTGTGACTCATTCTGTTTCCAACATCTGCCATGATACATTTACTGTAACAGAAATTGTTGAAGAACTCATTACCACAGGTATTGTTACTGAATCACTGAGACTAGGAATCGAAACTATGCTTTAGGAAATCTGGTGACTTAAGACTCGGTTCAGAAAAACAAACTATGTTATTCTGCTGTCCACTATGTACTCATAATTATTTTTAGATGGTTGGAAGCTAAAGCAGTTTTGAAGAAAACACGTATAAATATACTCAATCTCTTCATTGAGAATGTGAGTGACAATCTCTTGCAACGCACTACGTCATCTATGAGGATCGACTGCAGCCAAACATTTAAAAAAATTCGGCAGAGTTAACTGAAACATCGTGGGATGGCAAGGCCTTGGGCCACTATAAGTTAGAAAAACGATGCTAAACAAACTAACCGTTTCGAACGAAATCAACACACTCTTCTTTCGTCATCCCTTTGCGGAAGTTTTGATCGAAGTATCCATAAATATATGTGCTGCCAGAGCCGCCAATAACTGTAGGCTGTCTAACAAGCATACCGCCAAGCGGGATAGAGTAAATCTATAATCCTCAGTTAGCTAGGTTAATCTGTTACCTGACCACCTAATTCATAATCCCAGCCTGCAACAATGATACCTGCTGTCAGATCATCTCTATAGTTGTAGCAGAAATGGCGACAAGACATGGCGGCTTCTAAAACAGTCGGTTCTCTATCCATTTCAAGGCGGTGGAAATCTAACTTGTAGCGAACCATATCTGCAATTGTCTGTGTATCAGCAGCCGATCCAGAGCGGCAGCAGTATATGCTCTTTGTGAGTTGTGTGAGTTTATCTGTCACACGATTGACCACATATGTACTGAAACATAAATTAATGTCTTTCAGATATACCCAGAAGATGTCCTGGAATCGGCACCGATAACCACACCACCGTCATATTCACATGCAAATAGAGTTGTCTAAAGTTTTTAATGACACATCATGCAATTTACTCACTCCAGTACTGATCCCCTTTATATTTTCTTCAACACCTGATTGTACACTAAGCATTTTGACCTGTTACAATAGTACTTGGACCTGCCGCTTAATCTTACGCATACCAAAATCCAATATCCAATATTGATAGTGCGAGCGTAGAAAACTGGTAGTTTTTGATCTCTCGCGTCTAGTTCTTAGGGCTTGGTTCCAGTTGTTCGGTTTACTCCTGCAGTGGACGAGGAAATCCCTCTGCTTTCTTGCTTTTAGCTTCGGTGAGGTGGATGTTTTGTGGGTTAGTAGGTTGTAATTTGTAGAGTGATTAGGGAGCTACGGGTTGCTGGGAAGTTTAGAGAACTGCCGTGACTCCTGTCTGTGTAGGTACCTGAAAGAGAATAGTAAGGTAGTGGTAAAGGAATGAAGAGAGAATAAAGAAGAGAGTGAAGTAGCACCATAGAGACTCTGGGAGCTGGGTTAAGGCCGTATCGCTAACCATCCTTGCCTTTAAACAGGAGTTTGCGTAGATAGCCACTCCCCCTCCTGCTCTATGTTCCCTGTCCCTGCGGAAGAGTTCCATGCCAGCAACACGCATCTCTTCGTCGGAGATGTCCGGCGAGAGCCAGGATTCGGTGATGAATATGATGTCGTAGTGCTGATGTTCACGCAGCGTCCTCATTTTGCTACCTTCCCTCTTAGCCCCCTAACGTTGCTGTACATACATATTAGAGTGTGCCTGATGAGAGGGGAGGTCTGGATGTGTATTTTCGCGGGATGAGCGCTTACGTGGTTGGTTTAGCCTCGCCAGTCCTCATAGGACTGGCATTGTTCCGTTTTTTGTGTTTTGTTCTTAACTTGGGTGGGGGCTGTAGCAGTGGTGGCTTCTTTACTTGATGTATCTAACTCACTGGTCAGCGCCTGTGTGACGACCACTGACTCCAGAGGTCTTGGTGGTTGCCGTCTCTCCTCTTGCCTTGTGGGTCTAGGCTTACTTTCACATATACGTATTGAGCCACCCATGCGATCCTTCGCATTATACCATGCGTGCAGAACGTCTGTGAGGGAGGCATATGAGTCGAACTGGACGGCAAGTAGTCTGGGATTGGGTATGGTCTTCAGGTGCGCTGGCCTTGGCAGTCTACTGACGCTGTTGGCCGGTATACTGTTGAGACCAACTTTGGTTGAGAGCCATTGCCATTGTTGGACGTCGTGAAAGTACCGATCTTTGACCGAGCTGTCACTTGGCAATTCTGGAATCCCATGTACAACTATAGTGTTGTTTCTGTTGGGATTTCCAACCGCTGACTTTCTCTCCTCCTCTCTTATTGACCATGGCTTGTCAGGCCTGGCCCGAATTTTACAGGCATTAACAACGTCCGGTTGTCGCGAGAGGAGGAGTGTGTCTTCAGCCTCTTTGGCGGTATTTAGGGACACACGTAAAGGGGGTGGCTTATCTCGGGGTGCATGGCTTCCTCGAGAAAGGCGACATAAAGTTGCAGGGAGGGGAGGGAGTCCCAGCATCTGACAGTAGTCGGTCCACATTCGGCTGTCAAATTGTTCCCTCTCGACCAACAATGAGTCTGTCGATACATCGACGTTGAACAAAATGATCGAGTTGGTCCTCCTGTGACCTGGGTTCGTTGTGGGTGGCACGCCCGACTTACCAATGGGTTTGAGTAATTCCACTGGTTGTTTCTCAGTCACGGTGTGTGGGGTGTTCGGAATGGGTTTCGTAGAGGCTTCGGCGGTCGATGTCTTTGGCCATGCGCTTGACGTCCCCTGGGGCCGGGTAGGGGGTATGGAGACTTGACCTAATATGGTCCCCACGCGAGGTGGCGTGCCCACAGCTGGAGCTCTAGGTCTGTTTCCAGGTCTCTCTGTGTTATCCTTTGGTGTTAACCCTACTTTATTCGAGGATGCTGGTAGCTTTTGCGTGGCGGAGAGCATCTCCTTCAGGCTTTCTGTGCGGAGTGCGGGCATTTTCCTGCACTCTGGACAGATGTACCAGAACCACTTGCATGGTTGTCTCTTCATCAGCTTATAGTATTGTCGGGGGACTTTGGTATCGCAGTGGCAATGCGCCCATCGTTGCACAAATGCCTCATCGACTACCGAAACAACTTTGGTGCAAACACTGCAGCCATCGGGTGTCGTAATACAGCCTTCCTTCCATGAATAAGGTGCTACGGATTGTGGCGAACTGCTTGTGGCTGCCTTGTTCTGAAGCCTTTTACGTCGTCTTCTATTTCAGGCATGGTATGATCCTTGCTCAAGATAGGACTAGTTTGTGACGGGCTAGTGCTACTCTGTGTCACCTGTCTGATGGCGACTGGAATTCTAGAAACATGGGTTGGCCACTTCTTAGAAGTTCGGTGTTCTGCCCTACCTCTGTTTGTCTTCTAGTACAGACTAGTGTGTTGTTTCGGGTGTTACTGGCCGTTTTGTGCACGACCGCGTTATCCGTGTCAAAGCTTCAGACCTAGCGTTTTGGGCAGACATGTCGCTATGATATAAACTTCTTGGGAAAACAAGTAGTTAACAACAATAAGAGGGTTGAAGACTGAATGCAGCAAAAGGACAGAATAGAAAAGGGAAGATAATTTAGTTTGTAATTTGCAGAGTGATTAGGGAGCTACGGGTTGCTGGGAAGTTTAGAGAACTGCCATGACTCCTGTCTGTGTAGGTACCTGGAAGAGAATAGTAAGGTAGTGGTAAAGGAATGAAGAGAGAATTAAAAAAAGGAGAGGAAAAAAATAGTAATATAGGGAAGAGAAAAGGGAAGGAGGAGAAAAGGAGGGGTGAAAAGAGAGCGAAAGAAAAGTATTTGGGAATTGCCCGAATGGTCGCGTGGGTTTGGTTCCTACAGAAGAATTAGTAGGTAATGTGGGTGTATTAAGGAGGGAGATAGTGAGTGGTAGTTAGGAGGGAGTTGGGGGTACTGAGGTTGGTGACTACCTGAGTACGTCCGTGGTAGTCCATGCGAGGTGACATAACTGTCTAATCGCCTCTTGAAAGAGTCGACTGAAGGAGCTATAACGATGTGTCGCGGTAAGGCATTCCATAAAGCACATACTCTTAGGGAGAAAAATTTGGACCTGAGTGTGGTGTTGGCTCTCTGGTGTGCTATCTTAATGGGGTTTCCTCGTGAAGATCGTTCAGTTGCAGGCAAAATTGATTTGTTTGCATGGTCTGCCTGATGGGCGATCTTGTATGCCATAATGAGGTCACCCCTTTTCCTGCGATAACCCAAGGTAAATAGGTTGAGGTGTTTAAGTCTTTCAGGATACGTCTTTCCCCTTAGCCCCACAACACATTTTGTTGCAGTTCTTTGTATTCTTTCAAGGAGATTAGAGTCTCTCTTGAGTGTTGGAGGAGCCACCGTATTGAAGACCTCTAGGTGCGGCCGCACGTAGGATTTGAAAATGGTGAGGAAGAGTTCGGGAGTGAGGGCGCCAAGCTGTCTACGCAGAAAGTGTAGAATGGCGTTCGCTCTGGTTGTCATACCTTTGTAGTTGGAGCTGGTGTCCAAGGTGTCGGAGAAGTTGAGCCCCAAATCTTTCTCCATGGACACTCTGGTGATAGCACGGTTGCTCAACATGTACTGGAAGTCGGTCGTACTTGCCTCATTTTTACTGATGTGCATTACTTTGCACTTTTCCAGTTGAAGCTCAGGCCATTTTCCGACGACCAGAGCTCGAGTTGCTGCAAGTCCTTTTGTAGTGCTGACAATCGGCTTCTTCGTTTACCACCCTCCAAATTTTTATGTCGTCAGCGAAGAGGAGGATGGGTGAGGATATTTTGTCTGGCAGATCGTTGACAAACAGGAGGAACAGAAGCGGTCCTAGGATTGCTCCTTGGGATACTCCTGACGTCGAGGGTCTCCACTCCGACCTTATTCTGTTCACTTTAGTGCAGAACTGCCTCCCTTCCAGGTACTCCTTGAACCAAGAGAGTAGGGGTCCACTTATACCAGCTGACATGATCTTGTGAAGCAGTACTGTGGGTGGGACACTGTCAAATGCTTTGGCTAGGTCGAGAAATACAACATGTACAGGTTTTCTATTATCCCAGCTTTGTGTCCAGTCGTCCCAGGCGGTTAGTAAGTTGGTGGCACATGAGCGACCACTACGAAAGCCGTGCTGAGCAGTATGGACAGTGTTTTCCTATTGAGGAATTCCCAGATGGTGTCAGCTACCAGGCTTTCCAACACTTTCGACACAATAGGGAGTAGGGCAATTGGCCTGTAGCTGCCAGGGCTTTTTCTGTCTCCTCCCTTGAAGATGGGTGACAAGATGGCGCTCTTCCATTCTTTAGGGAGTTTGCACGAGTCTATTGAGTGCTCAAAGAGGTTGCGAAGTGGTTTGGTAAGCACCTCGGCGCAGTTTTTCAGAACCACTGGTTTCAGGTTATCGCAGCCAGGGGACTTGCCCGGACGTAGCCTAGATAGCTTCTCGAACACCTTTTTCTCTGTAATAGAGACGTGACAGAGGTATTCGTTATTTGCGACCTGGTCGGTGTCGTGGCGAGTCGGTGTGGATCTTGTGTCAGTGCTGAGTTGGGCTTGGAAGTGTGAGCTCAAAAGCTCGGCAATCTCTAGACTGCCTAGTACACTCCCGTCATGGCCTGTGACAAGATTCACTCCCTTACTGGTCGACTTTCTTCTCGACATGAAGCGGTACAAGTTTTTGGGGTTGCTTTGTAACCTCGCTGCCAAGTTTGTTTGGTAGGAAAATCTGTCGTTACGCACTCTAATGTTACAGAGATTGCGAATCCTTTTGTAGTTCAAGAAGTCAGACTCCCTGCGTGATGTACGCCACTTGAACCAAGCCTGCTTCTTGCTCCGGATAAGCCTCTCTGTCCCACGCTTTAACCATGAGGTTCTCATTGATTGTCTGTGTGTTACTTCTGGTACACTGTGACTGATGGCCCCAGTGATTATTTTCTTCACCTCCAACCAGTGTTCATCTATTGTGAGATGAGTCCAGTCCACTGGCCATGATGCATTCATGAGGTAGTCCCTCATGGTCTCATAGTTGGCCTTGCTGTAGCAAGGGAAGGTGTTGGCGTCTCCAGTTGCAGAGCCTCCCTAGTTATCATGGAGAAGGTGATTACAGCGTGGTCAC